TTTGAGATAAAAGAACAAAAAATATCAAATTGGGATAAAGATGTTAGAATACGTGGCTAATAACATATATTTTTTTCTTTAAATTTGAGGCCATAATTTGCAGGTTTAGAGTGGATCTAAACCTTTCCTCCAACATGCATGATATAACAAACTCGAGCTTGTTTTTACGAGTTTGATGACTTATCTGCACTTATCATCTGATGAACTAGTAAAACTTGTCCAAGAGCTAACGAGGCTACATAATCTTTTACGTTAAAGAAACAAAACTTATATAAAATTACTCAAAATACATATTTTTTCAGCTTAAAATAAATCATAAAAATGTATAAATAATATACATAATTTAATACAAAAGTATTTTCACAAAAAATATAGAGTTCAGGTATTTGCACTAGAATGATTTATCAGCCTCGAAAATATTATTTTCAACAACCAAATATTTGACCAATAAATGAACTTATAAAATCCTTTTATAAAAACAGTGGCGTAGCGGGTTGGATATCCAGATTAAAAAAAAACAATGACACATTAATTACCTATAAATATACACAGGTTGAGTGGACTTGCTTGGGTTTTTTCATCACTCGGTCCCTTTGTCAATTTTAAAGGTTCAGGGTTCATTTAACGAATGTTTACTTAAAATAAACGTTTACCAAGTCATATTACCTACCAAATGAATATGGTAAAGATCAAGAGTATTATATGGTAAGTGAGAGCGACGACCTCTTAACAAGGTCAACGCTTACCGTGTAAATTGTTGCATATTAATGCCGTCTTCGTGGGTTAAAATCTTGCTCGTTAAGTAAGTGATAGTGTTGAATTTTATCAGTAAACATTTAACGGGTAAGACGACCCTAAGTGTATATTTCTGAAATTGGTTGTTGAATCCCACTTTTTTAATTGGTTTAGAATACCGGGTGTTTAACAAACGAGATTATCCTTGAGCATTTCTAACATAAATAAATAGATTTTGGTATAAATGGTTTAAATATCACGCATACGCTTGCTTTGATGATAATTATCGAATATCTTATTTAATAATAAATACTACAAAGATAATATTGAAAATTAGCATAATATTGAATAAGAGCATTGCTTTATGAGCTGCTCTGAGTTGTGTTGTGTTTGTCTTTTATTTATTTATTTATTTATTCATTATTCTCATTTTTCCAAATTAAATTAATTATCTGTCAATAAAATAAATTATCAAATTTTCTTAAACAACATTTTCTTCTAATCATTAGCGTATTCGTACAGGCTTGCAGTTTATATATTTTGTGAAATTTCCAAAAAATCACCCTGGACTATTCTCTAATAGCCCATTTCAATCGTCTTGATTTATTATTTTACATATTTAGTCCAAGAAAAACGCTACATTTAGCTGGTGTAATTTTACGTTGCTTGAAAGTTTATACGTGAAAATTTTTCAAAGGTGAATAGGAGAGTGAATAAATGACTGAAATACTTTTAAAAATTACGCCACTCCTTGTATGTGACACTTTTAGACTGATATAAATTGTAGTTTACGTGTTGTTTATTTTTGAAGAAAATACATCTTTTTCATAATTTTATGTCTTATCTGATAAGAGGTTAAACTTATGAAATTGCGTTTTTTTTCTTGTGATAAGGGCTTAAAACCTCTTATCGTTCTCTTAGGGTGTGTTTGGTACGCAGACAGGACAGGACAGGACAGGACAGAACAGAACAGGACAGATGTTCAGCGTTTGGTAAGACATAACAGGACAGGACAGAACAAGACAAAACTGGTTAAAATGACCAATTTACCCCCAGTGACATTTCAAATACATAATTACATATCACAACACAATGAACAATGAACAATCCTAAGAACCCTAAATCAAACATTTGAGTGAATTACGTCTAATTAACCAAAATTACTAGTTAAAATTCACATTTAAGCCTCGAAAATAGAAAAAAATTGAAACAAAATACATGAATTTCCTAATTCAAGCAGTAACAAATTTCCTAAATCGAAACAAAAACCCTAAACAAGATAATATTCAAATTCAAGCAGTTTCTCACATGATTTTCCTAATTCAAACGAAAGTAGACAAGCGATGCAGTAGCAAAATTTGAAGAAATGGGTAAAAACAGACATAGAGAGAGATAGAGATAGTTTTACCTTAAAAAAGATGGAGGACACGGTGGAGATGGAGGCAGAGGCCGGCTGTGAAGAAGACGATAGAGATGGAGGTCTGCTGTGGAGGAGACGATGGGGATGGAGGTCTGCTGTGAAAAAGCTGTGAAGAAGACGATGGAGATGGAGGTTCGTTGTGAAGAAGACGATGGAGATGGAGGTCTCCTGTGAAGAAGACGATGGCGATGGAGGTGGCGGTGGCTTGAAGAAGACGATGGAGATGGAGGTTGCGGTGGCTTGAAGAAGACGATGGAGATGGAGGTGGCAGTGGCTTGAAGAAGACGATGGAGATGGATTGAGACGGTAGATGGGTATTAGATTTAGGGTATATTTGTCAAATAACTCTTGTTCCACTTAGTTCCAGGGTGAGAGGGTGAACAAGCCTGTCCCATATGTGTTCCACTTAGTTCCATTTAGAAACACACCAAACATGGGACAAGTGTGTCCTGTCCCACCCTGTTCCACGTACCAAACGCACCATATTGGACCAACTTGACCCTCTTCCATATTAATGTTTCATATTATATTTTGGGTTTATCAATATTATGATACTATGTGGTTATGAGAAAAAGAAAATGTCTTTATTTTTGAATGAAATATAAATTTGAAGATATCCTAAAATTTTAAAAAAAATAAATGATATTAGTATTAAATTAACTATAAGTTCTCGTTTTTATTAAATTCCTTTGATTCAAATTTTTATTATAATTTAATTAAAATTTAAAAACGAATTGACTTATATTTGGTTTAATAATATAATTTTTTTATAAATATAATAATTAATTATTTTGTTAGAACTCAATAATTATCCTAATTATATTTTAAATTTTTTATATTTTAAAATGAGATGTTTATCATCTATTTGATTATGTTTATCCGCAGTCAGTTACACAAATTCAAAATGGAGCTTTAATAAGTTGTACTAGCTTTAATAAGTTGTACTTACGTACAATTTACTTGTAATATTGAATTTAAAGTAATATGAATCAATAAACAGTACTTCATGCATAAAAAACGATTTTTAAGAGTTTTTATCAAATGCTATATAATATAGTATAGATAGTTTTTTAATACTGTTAACTTAGGTGCCGTTTACCAAACGCTTACTCGGATAAGCGCTTACTAAGTCCATTTACTTTACCGGATGAATATGTCAAAGATTAAGAATCTTACCTGATAAGAGCGAAAGCAAGAATCTTAAATCTTACCCTGTAAGTGAGGACAATGACTCTTACTATGGTTATCACTTACTGAGATAAATTGTTGCATACGATGTGTTTTAGTGAATAAAATTTTGCCCAATAAGTAAGCGATAGTGTTGAATTTTACCGATAAGTGCTTACCGGGTAAGTGTTTAGGTAAACGGCCCCTTAGATTTTGCTTATATATATATATACAAACAATTATTAATTTCTTAAAAATAATTTTATTAATTTTGCTTTCAGATTTTATATCAATAAAAAGTGAAATAAAATTTCTACGCCTCTTAAAAAACTTTATGGGTGAAATGTGAAAATTCACATGCCAAGAAACTAATTAAACCAATCTGTCACTAAATAGTTAAGGGACGATTTTGGGATTTTTTTTTATTTAATGATGTTTAAAAAATATGTTTACTAATTATATAAAAATCATTCTTTTATGCAACGATGATGCATCGATGCATATTTAAATAACGTTTTAATTAACTACAAAGATTATATATATATATATATATATATATATAAATTTTAATGCCCAACGTCTTTCTCTTTAAAATTTATGTATTTCAAGACTTGGGTCTGCAAATTTTAGGTTGTGACGTATTGACTAAGTCTGAGGGATTTAGTGAAAATCTCATTTCGAATCCAAATGTTACAAAAACCCTTGTGGTCGCTCATCATCCAAAGGATTAGTTTGTTCATGTAAGCTGACCTGAAAACCACGATTATCAAATAAGGACTTTGATCCTTGAAGAGATGGATGCTAAGTAACGTTATTTCAAAAAACGTTTTGCCGACGGATTAAAAATTTAAATCAAGAATCTAATTGAGTCGTCAAATTGTATGGATTATAAATCCATAAGGTAATTAAAAAAAATTGACAACTCAAAGAAAATCCGAGGTAACATAAGATTTTATTTGACAAGTAGGTTAATTGGCATCAAATTAGGAAGTGATGGAAGTTTGCTACAATTATAATCGTGAAAATAAAATTAAACGTAAAATTAAATAAGAATTCATATAAGCTTATGGGTGGCTTATCAAATGCTTATTGGGTTACTACTTATCGACAAAAGCTATCACCTATTTACCTTATTTGGTAACATTTTCAATCATTAAAATGAATTGTTGGCAACTGCTTTCTACCTAGTAAGAGTCTTTTCTCTTCCTTACCAAGTAAAATTTTATGTCTTTGTTATGACTCTTAACGGGTAAGATTCTCGGTTCTTGCTGTATTCGTTTGGTAAAATATGTGACATCAGTAAGCGATTATTCGATAAAAGTTTGATGAACGACTCTCTCATTGCACTATGATCATTTTGATTGATTTCAAATTTAGATTTCTAAAATTGTATATCGAATCTAAATTTTATTTTTGTGAATTTTTATAATATAGTTTTGATTCATAAACATATAGGATTAAATGGTTAATTAGCTTTAATATAAAATTATGATTTTCAAGAGCCAGAAAATTCCAGTGTTTTCTATAATCATTCAATAATCAATAAATATAATACTAAAATATTTAAATAAAATAAAATAAAATAAAAAGATTTATCTACTCGATATATATAATTCAAGTTCAACTCTATCTCCCTCACTACCCCCATAAATATCAACCTTTCAACACAATACACTTCACACCAAACACTTCTATCTCTCTTTAATTAATTCTCTCTAGCCATGACAAAGGACGTTGAAGTGGCGGAGCACCACGGCGGAGGCAGCGAGTACGCCGCTAAGGACTACCATGACCCACCTCCAGCACCCTTGATCGACGGCGAAGAGCTCACCAAATGGTCTTTCTACAGAGCTGTCATCGCTGAATTCATTGCCACCCTCCTTTTCCTTTATATTACCGTCTTGACAGTGATCGGATACAAGAGCCAGACTGATCCCACCTTAGACACCGATCAGTGCGGCGGCGTTGGCATCCTCGGCATCGCCTGGGCCTTCGGTGGCATGATCTTCGTTCTCGTTTACTGCACCGCCGGTATCTCTGGTTAGTATCTAACAACATATATGCATGATTGAAAAGAGTTCAAAAAATGAATTAATTATATATATTAATATGCAGGAGGACATATCAATCCTGCGGTAACATTTGGGCTGTTTTTGGCCCGAAAGGTGTCGTTGATTAGGGCAGTCGCGTACATGATCGCGCAGTGTGCGGGTGCAATATGTGGTGTTGGTTTGGTGAAAGCTTTCCAGAGTTCCTACTACAATAGGTACGGAGGTGGGGCGAACGAATTGGCCCCCGGTTACAATAAGGGCACCGGACTAGGTGCGGAAATCATCGGCACCTTTGTTCTTGTATACACCGTGTTTTCGGCTACCGATCCTAAGAGAAGCGCACGAGACTCTCATGTTCCCGTAAGCATCTTAACAATATTTTGTATCCTTTAAAATAATATAACGAAATGGGTTGGATTCACGTAAGATCAAATGTTTATTTAAAATAATATAAAGAAATTATTGAAGAAGGAATAAAGTGGTGTTTATTGTGATGAGAGGGACAAAGGAATAACTTTTATGAGAAAATGACAAAATCTTTTTTTAAATATTTTGTAGCAGTTGAGAAATGGATTTGTTATTATCATCTTTAAATCATTTTCTTATTATTATTTAAAATATTTATGGAAATTATATAAAAAAACATTAATTAATTTGTGTACAAAATGAAGGTATTGGCACCACTACCCATAGGGTTTGCAGTGTTCATGGTACATTTGGCCACCATCCCCATCACCGGTACCGGAATCAACCCCGCCAGAAGCTTCGGCGCCGCCGTCATTTACAACAACGAAAAAGCCTGGGATGATCAAGTAATATGAATTATATATTTTTTAATACTATTTTTTTATTAATTTATACAAAAATTAATGAAATTATATATTTTTTGTAGTGGATCTTTTGGGTCGGACCGTTTCTAGGAGCGGCAGCGGCGGCGTTCTACCACCAGTTTGTACTGAGGGCAGCAGCCATTAAAGCACTCGGTTCTTTCAGAAGCAATGCGTAATTAATTAAAACAAGAATAAAACTGGACGAATGGCGGTAATTATTGTATGCATTCGAGTGTGGTTTTCCAGTTGATGAGGAGAATTGTTGAAGTTAAAATGGATGGATATGTGAGTGTGGAAGTCTGCAATTGTAGATAATAATTTAATTTCCCTTTCAGAAATGTAATTTCTTTCCTTTTTTTATTAAATTAATGTGAATCTTGAGTCTTGTTATAAGTTGTCATGTTTTATTTTAAACCAGGAGGATTCTTGGACAACATAGCGAGGTATATCTTGATTTTAATATTTTATTTTATTTTTTATTTCAGTTGATGTTATAGTATGGTCTTATGTGATTTTAAAAAATGAATGATATTTTTATTTTTGAATAAAATATAAATATGAAGATATCATAAAATTTTGATAAAAATATATCGATATTAGTATCAAATTAACTATTTGAAATTTCTCATTTTTTTGTGTAATTTTTTAATTCAATTTTTATTATAATTTAATTTAGGTTCAATAACGAAGTAAATTATATTTAGATAAATAATATAATTTTCTTATAAAGATAATAATTAATTATTTTGTTAGAACTTGATAATTATTCTAATTATATTTTAAAATGAGATGTTTATCCTCTATTTGATTATGTTTATCCGCAGTTAGTTACATTAATTCAAACATGGAGCTTTAATAATTATACTTATGTATAATTACTTGTAATCTTGAATTTTAAGTAATATGTATCAATATACAGTATTTCATACATAAAAAATGGTTTTTAAGAGTTTATGTCAAATGATTTATAATATAGTATAGATTAAATTAAATCTTAGAGTTATTTATTTCCATTATTAGTTTTGTTAAACTTAAATCTAAATATAAAAGATTCATGTATTATATCATAAAAAGAAGATATCCCTTTTAGGGGTGTTTGAGATTGCTTATAAAAACAATTTATTGACTTATTTCGGTGTGACATCGGTAATAAACACTTTTGACTGTTTGGATAAACAACTTATACCGATGTCAAACCGATAATAAGAAGTTTTTGAAGAAGTTAAAACCTTCTGACTTATAATAAGTTGATAAATGTTTTTGTAGAAAAACATAAATTGTTTCAAATAAACAATCCCAAATTAATTAGATAGAACCTTCTTTTATCATCTTATTTTTTTTAATACAGATAATGTAAAGTAATAATACTTGGAAAACAAGTTAATTATAGTCATTCGCAAACGTTTAAATAGCAACATCTATTGACATTAATATGTATTAAATAGTTATTTTTTTGTATTAAAAAATATATATGTACGTTAACGGTTTTTTTCTTCTTAAAATATTAAAATGAAGTGTCGTTTTGGTGAATTTTAATCCAAGTCTACTTTACGTTCTTGTAGTTTTAAATTATAAGATGACCATTATCGTTTGCAAAAACAGCTTGATTTGACCCCTTACTTTAAAAATTCCGTTAAATAAAAAACATCTCCATCATTTTATCGATTCTTCTGTCTTTACCTGATCAAAACTGATTTTATGACTTCTGATCCTTGTGGTTTTCTTGGGTAAAAGGCAAAAAATTCGATACAAAAGCTAAGACACATTTCGTTTAACAAGAGTTTTAACCGTCTCTAGATAAATGGATCAAATCCGAACGTTTTGGCAAACCATGATGGTCATCTTGTAATTTTGAAATTATAGGAACCAAAAGTATTATTTTTTTTATAAACCATAATTGTGGTTTAATATTTATTAAAAAAGGATATTATATTGTTATTTAAAACTAATTTTACTTCACATAATTTTGGTACAAATCACCTACTTCTTAATCAAGACTATAAATAAATAAGCAAACTAAGGGGCCGTTTACCAAATACTTATCCGGGTAAGTATTTACCAAGTGACACTTCTTCACCGGATGAATATGGTAAAGATCAAGAATCTTACCCAGTAAGAGTGAGACAAGGAGCATGAGTCTTACCAGGTAAGTGAAGACGACGACTCTTACCATGGTAAACGTTCACCAGGTAAATTGTTGCATATGATGTCGTTCTGGTAGACTAAAATCTTACCCGTTAAGTAAATAGTATTGTTAGATTTTACCGATAAATATTTATCGGGTAAGTGTTTGGTAAACGATCCCTGAATGTAATACCAAATTAAGAGATGAGGGTGGTGAGTTGGTTTTGAATGCTTGTGTGGTGGCACCTCATTATTGCTAATTAGGTGATTACCATTATTTATAATACCATTTTTTTAATCAAGGTTGTAACGACATTTTTTTATAACTAAAATACTAAATAGACAAGTCATAAATATATTCACATAAAATTGAACCCGAATCAAATAATTAGAAACAACGTAGATACTGTTTGGCAAAAATTAATTAACTTATAAGTTAACTTATTTTATGTGTACACGTTTATATGAACATAAAAAGAAACTTATTGAAAAACGCTACTTTTCATAGCTTATTGTCAATTTTTTCAATTATAACTCTTATGAATAAATATTAATAAAATTTAAATGGTATTAATATTAATTATTAATAAGAATTAGTTAATATAAATTAAA